GAGCTAATAACTAATGACAAAGTGCAAAAATGAAAAATAAAAAAAATTAACTAATAACAAAGCGCAAAAATTAAGTTGCCTTTATATGGCTTACGGTTAACCTTAAAAAGAAACTTAATGTCTAAACAGCATGAACATTAGTAACTGTGCATGGTACGAGAAACAAGGATAGAAATGCAAAACTAAATAAGGAAGAAATCGATATCTTCACGAACAACAAAGAACGAATTTCTCGCGATGATGTTAATATCATGTTCAGGAAGGCCTGTCATGGCGGCTGCCACTTAGGACTTGTCTTACACCACGCTATATGCAACATCCTCTCCTTTCATACATTAACACTGTAAATTGCTTTTACAACGGCATTCACAGAAACCATGAACACTATATTTCTATCCAAAATGTATCTATACGTAGGCTATTTACCTGAAGAAGAGGTGTGATCAAATTGAACCAGGAATCCAGTCGACGATGAATCGTTACCACTCGATTTAGCAGAAGAAAACACTCCATGAGCTTGACAGAACTGATGATGTCCTAGGTTTAAGGGTCGAAATGGTGCGTTTCTTTAACCCTAGAAGCTCGAAAAAGACGTTGAAATTTCTTGTAGTTCGTAAGCTCTTCCACGTGTAAGACTAAGCGAAATATGAATATTAATTTTAAAAATTATTTGTAATTCAAATGAGTTTCGGGTTTGAAAGGTGGATTAAAAATAATCGACACCGAACTCATAGGTCACTTTCGTTCAATATTATAAAACGAGGTAGGTTATCAAGCTAAATGCTGATTTTAAACTTGATGACATTAATTCGATTAAGAGCTGCAAAAAAATCTTTATTTTTGAAGAATTAACTCGAACTAAGATGAGATTACGTTGAACGTAAAACAATTTCGCTTGTAAAGTACTTTTTGTTAGATATCATGGACGTACTAGAACTCTTTCGTATCTCGATAGGTTTCATTTTCTTTTTTTTTATTTGAAGGAGCTGTTGTATTTTTCAATTTAACAGGGTCAGGGCACGCACGCATATACTTTTAATGTCGTCAGGACCCTGCAGTTGCTTAAAGAAAAAAAGCTGCTTAACTCTTCCTTTTCTCACTTAGTTCCCAGGTCTTCTTCGTGTTTGATTGTCACTGAAAGTCATAATATACCAGCTTCTTATCAACTTGTGTGTTTCAAGTTTTCTCCCTCAGAGGAAAACACGTTTGATACCAAGAAAAACCAGTGGTTGCGCCGAATTAGAATTAAAACCAGATTGAACTAGAAAAATAAGTATCAGGCCCTACCACTTGGACGACAGAGGGAAAGACTTGCGAACGACTACATCACCTACGCAAGCACTGTCAGAGGAATTCGACAACAACTCTGGTTCAATCACCGCTGTAAAGCTCACGGCCTTGCTCCGGCCGGGTTTAAACTCAAGTCCCCGTTTAACACACAGGAGGCCATCCAGGTTGTCAAAGCCACCTGTATACGACTGGTCAAAGTGCGGATAAATGATTGTCACAGAAGACTCAAACACGACAGAAACAAACTACGACAACTTCACGAGAAACTGAAACAACTGATACCAACTGATTTACTTGACACTGTGACGACCTATTGTTTCTTTCTGTGGCTCTCCTACATAACAACTATCCAAGTACCTGACAACAATACTACAACCACGTATGATGCACGATCCTCGCAGTAGAGAGCGCTATTTATGCAATAGCGAAAATCAGACCTGAAAAAAATCAGGCCTGTACGGGATTCGAACCACTGACCTCTGCGATACTAGTGCAGCGCTCTACCAATATGAACTTCATATATTCATTGTATCTACTGACTAGAGTGAATAAAAGGGCTAAGTTTCTGAAGAAACTGTGTTGCTGAGCCGGTGGGTCAGTAATTAGGTAATTGTGGTTTTATCAACCGAGTTGATAATGTATATTGGCCACCGTAAAGAGTTTCGAAGCTGACGTTTCGAGCGTTAGCCCTTCGTCAGAGCTTCGAGTACTGTCATCCCTAGAGGGTCTTGCATTGGTTTGTATTGATCCCGCATATGGAATCTTTATGCAATTCACATTTCCCTACACCTTTTCCATTTATTTGGAACACCATACAGACCCACTTTAATGTATGTTTGTTGACTAAATCCCAATTTTGTTGTTTATCGTAGAAATTAATTAGAAAAAAAAGTCAGGAAAAAGAAGTAAGAGAATTTCAAGAGGGAGGCGATAGCATAATAGGAAAAGAAATTAACTCATCAAACAAAGCTTGACAATAGTTAATCCTCTAAACGATGATTGACAATAGAAGGTAGCTGCTCTCAAGAAAAGGGGCTGGTTGGTCGCACTATTGCAGTTTCAAGTCCCATGCACAACGAGAAGAGGTAAGAACTATTCCGATAAAAAAACTAAACAATGAAACAAAGGACAACAATCCTCTTTCTCTTGTGTACTGATTGGTACCAGAAAGTACTTTATTCCAAAAAATAGCTTGTTGAGCATGCCCAGTCCCGATATAAGTTACCATGATCCGGAGGAACGACTGGAACCTGAAACGTTCAACCTAGAAGGGTGAGCGTTTCGTGAGATGACGTTTCGAGCGTTAGCCCTAACGCTCGAAAGGTCAGCTTTTGGAATCGTTACGGTGGCCAATTTACCATTTCAACTTTGTCGATATATCCAAATTATTTCGTTACTCCCATCGACGCAGCCCCAAACAGTTTCTTTCGAAACTATCAGCCTTTATTCATTTGTGCGCTAACTGACCCGTAAGCGAGATGAGTTGTCACCTCTGTCGCACATCATGTTATAAACTTGGTATAGATTTTTGAGTTTTTCCTCCTTTTGTTATTATAGGAAAAAGATAAATATATGCCGCTCCTCACGACAGAAAACAAAAGAGTGTAACTCGAATCAGTTCTATAAGTCCATAGGATGTCTATTACTTACAATGCCGTTCATGTTATTTTAAATAATTCCATCAATACATCATTCTTACTATTTGTCCAATTTTCTCCCACTTTTCTCGCACTTTCCCTACACTTTACTTGCATGTTCGCTGCACTTTTATCGCACTTTTCCTGAACTTTCCCCACACTTTCCCTTCCTTTCGCCGCACTTTTTTTGCACTTTAAACACACTTCTTGCACTTATCGTGCATTTAACCGCACTTTTCCCGCGCTCTGAAGCACTTTGAACGCACTTTAAATGGACTTGAACGCACCAGAATGGTTGTGGAATTAAGTCCATCAGACACACCTCGAAGAACTAATATTGTTTTTTTTTTTATTATTAAACTAGATCCAAAGCAAACAAAAATATCTTTGTTTAAAAAACTATCTCAACATAATTCTACTAAAGTACTCTATAAGTACCATAAATTTGAAATTTACAATGCTGTTAATATCAATCTGATCTCAATTTTGTTTAATTTATTGTCTGACACTAATTAACTTAGAATTCTAAATTTTGAGATTAAGCGAAAACTTAATCATCAATCACTTATCTCCAAAAGGCCAAACCATAAAAAGTTTAAAAAAGAAAAAAACTTTTAAATTTTCTCACAAATTATCGATTAAATACCTGTCTAACATATTTGAATTTGTTTTAAATCTGTAACGCATGCATGTTTTTCTTTTCTTTTTTTTTTTTCACTCAGACTTTCCTTTTGGCTTGCAAAGTTCTTAGCTTTTTCAGATTTTCCTGTGTTAGCTGGTCCCCAGGTCTCAACTCTAGTGCTCGGGTGTAACTCATCTCAGCTTCGTTAAGTTTACCTTGGAGGTGCAACATAGCTCCAAGATTCATATGTGCCACTGGATTCTTAAGGAAGAATAAAAGTGAGGTATCTTTTTTAATAAGAAACCATAATTGACCTTTTGACTATGGTATTGTAGTATTCTGCTGATGGGAAACACTTGAACACAATGTATGTATCGATTAATCAGGAACTGACTTGCAAAATTTGAGAAGGACATATTGCAGATTTGTATTCTAAATAGACTAAAATATTTCTTAGATGTTTCTCACCTGTGGATTCAACTTCACTGCCTTCTTGTAGCAACTCTCTGCCCTTTCATAGTCTCCAATTTCCCTACAAACAAAAAATATGTGAAGATGCTGAGTACCTGTTCAGTGAAATGATTCCACTTGCAAACTGACAACATTTTCCAGACAAGCAGAACAAAGTCAACAGAGAGTACAGAAAGGAATCAAGTAGAATTGAAATCACATTACTTCACATGGTACCTGAGATACCCAGCAGCAGTAAATGCAATTTCAAAGTCATGGGGAGCTAATTTCATGGCCTTAGTAAACATTGTGGCTGCCTCCGTCAATCGCCTCTGATCAAACAAAAACTGCCCTGATAGAAAAATGAAATCAGATATATGATTATTTTTTCCTTTAAGTTCTCACAAACAACATTCTTTGCAGTGCTTACCTATCCCAGTTTACACCTTAAATAATTAAGAATCATGAAAATTTTCTGGAAATTTAAAAGCTTTCCTTTAAGCTCCTAAACCATAAACATACCATAATGTGTCCAAGAAGCATGATCTGATTTATTTAAAACTTGTGCTTTCTTGAACCAATGTTCAGCTTCATTGAAGTTGCCCTGCAAAAAACAGAACAGAAAGTCAAATGCATGCAATCAATTTTCCACTCACATTCATTATACAAGTATAAATATTTATGCATCAAGTGCACACTATATAATTGATTGAACATTCTATTCAGTATTGTACCTACCAGTTTAGCAAGATGTTTAGCATATGTAAGATGAGCAGCCAAGTGATCTGGTTTACTCATGAGTGATTCCTTGTACCATTTTTCAGCTTCTGCATATTTCCCAGTTGCAGAGTATGCTTCCCCTAGAATTAAACATTCAATTTGACTAAAGATTCAGTTCACACCTGATGACTGTAATTGTAGTTTCCCCAAATTAAATATAAGGTATGAAAAAAAATTCTTAAATCTTCTGATTATCATGACAACTGATAAGTGTATTTGCTGTTCCCATAATTATTTATCAGCATTGTTCAGTATTCACCACAGTTGCCATCTGTTTCTTTGTATGGACTCTCTTAGCTTTGCTTGGGAAATCAAGAACAATTACCAAATATATTTTAGGAAGAACAATAGTCCATTTTACAGTTGTCTGCTTGGTTGCCAAGCCTTTGAATAGGAGTGAGGCTAGGGTTGACCTTGTTATGATACAAACCTTGCTGCCTTTCAAATGTAAATCACTTTGTTATCATGCTAACTAGATACAGGTCTCTATCACAACAAGGTCACCTTTAGCCTCACTCTGAATCAAAGGCTTGGCAACTAAGTACTCAACTGTAAAATGGCCTATTGGAAACAACATTTTGTACATCATTCAAACCACCTATTTTATTCACATCATATGGCACCTACCTATCAGGTTGAACAAACTGTGAGGCTCATAGTGAGCTGGCATGGTTTTTACTGCCTCAAAGTAAACTGTAAGGGCTTCCTGTAATCAATTGTAAAAAATCTAAAATTATTAAAACTTTTCTAAAAACCACTTCAAATGGAAATCACAGTGATCCAAGAAAGCACTATCTACCTTTGGTTTCCCAAGTTGAGCCAAGATGCGCCCAAGATTATACTTTATTGATGTAACTGTGTTGGGTAAAAAGCAAAATAAGCCAACCATACTGTTAATATTCACATAGATCACTCAATGGATCACAGTTGTGGCCAATGTTTTTAGTTACTCACTTGAATGACTGTGCTGTTTGGGATCCTTTAATCCATGACCGCTGATGGTTGAAGCATTCTTTAGAATCTATGCAGGAAAAAAAAAGTTAAGGTATCTTTACTTAAAAAAAAAAGATGGTTAGATGGTTTGCTGATACCAGCACTGACTCATGAGTGGAGAGTTTGCTAATAGTTAATTAAACTCTTGGGTGGAGAGTTTGATGGTTATACAGTACCCATTTACTCTGCTTTGTGGGGACTTTGATGGTACCCATTTACACTTCTGGCTGGAGAGTATGCTGGTATTCTTTCACACCCCAGTGTACAGTGCTTGATGATGATGATGATACCCATTCACACTGTGCAAGTTTGACAGTCTACCAGCATTTATATTGCTAGGTGGAGAATTTGCTGGTACCCATACACAAGTTTATGTACGTTCTTGTGTAGAGAGGCACTGTGAGAATTTTGTGTCAAATCTAAAAAATAAGTTAAACTTAAACAGAAATGTCCTTGCTAGTCATCTCAAACTTGGAACATTTCATCAAAACTACTATGCAAACTCCATTGGTTCACTCTCTCTCTCTCAAACATATATAATTATAGGTAATAAAATACTTTGGAAGACATGCTAATATGAAATTCTAGAAGTACCTCCATCTGATAGACAAGATTGAAACTGAGACCTTAATGCACATATTGCCTATGTACAGCATTACTGATATCAATTTGACAAAAATTTGATGGATTTAAACTGAGTCTGCATATTTTTACTCAAGTTAAACACAACTGAAAACACTTCCCACCTTTACAGCTTCCTCCTTATGCCCCAAGTCAGCCAGCAAAATACCCAAATTCAAATGGGCAGCTTTGGAAAAACCACATGAAAAATTGAAGTTATTTCCTTGACCCTCCACCGAAGAGTATACTTTTTAAAGTCCCAGCAAACTTTCTAATCATGAGAAGAAAGACCTCATTAAATTAAGGAATTTTTGTAAAGACTCTTAAAATTTTAAAAATAAAAAATTTTTAATGTTCATAAATTGATCCTGACTGAACTATCAATTCATGTACACTGTATATGACTTGTCAAAAGCATATATCTTTGGGTGAAGAGGATAGCTGTCTGTCTGAAAGAACATTGGAGGCCATTGTCAAGACTGTTTGAAAAAATTGTTTATTCAGTTGGTCAGGGAAATTTTACACTTGCTGGGAAAAAGTCAGGGAACTTCATAATCAATGACTGTGGCAACCATCATCTAGGGTATCTTACCAGCTAGTCTTGGCCTGTAGTGGATGGCATTTTCATAGCTTTTGATTGCTTCACTGTATTGCTGTCGTTCAGCCAAAAGGATTCCCCTAAAATAAAAAGAAAACAAACAAAGCAAATCAAAGATTCCTTAAGATAAAGTAAAAGTGAATGTGGTTGAGTGGTCTTAATTTTCAGATCAAGCAGAAAAGTTTTTGGGGAGCCAGTCATGTATACACTTTAATCTACCTAGTAATCATTCTAAGCAACATATGGCAATCTGCGGTCTTTATCCTTACATTCACGTAGTTTGGAAAGCCATAAAACTCTTAAACAAAAGTTTATCTTTCTAATTGGCACTCTTAATCCCACAGGTATCAACAAATGGTTTTCAATCTACTAATTTATTCATGTTTTTCTTGTCGCCATGTTCCCAGCAATAGCTTAGTTCCACTTTCTGCATAATTTATAAACCCACACACAACCCACAATTCCTCCATTCGTTCTGAAGAAGGGCTAATGCTCGAAACGTCAGTTTTTCAACTCTCTATGGTGGCCAATTTACAATTTCAACTTGGTTGATATCACCAAATTACCTCGTTACCCCCACCGATGCAGCACCACAGTTTCTTTAATTAGAAACTCACTGCCTGTATATAATAATACTTGACAAGTGCTAAGATAACTTCAGTTCTTAATCAATGCCTCATTCTTATCTTATTCCAATGTGTATGACTCCATCTTTAAGTAATAAGCAGACATCCAGATACTTACAAGTTATAGTGCGTGTCAGCCATGTTGGTACGGTATGTCAGAGCCTTTCTGTAAGCATTTTCAGCTTCTCTAGTTCTTCCTTGTGAACTCAGCACATTCCCTAAGTTTGACCAAGCTGGTTATGAAGTCCAAAACAGAGTTAATTAAATATTTGAACTTGTTGAAATGAAAGACCGGACTTATTAATCACATGAAAAAGACAAAAACAACAACAAAAACATACACAAACTGAAACATGTTTCCCTAAGTCTATTCATTTGGGAGTGGGGGGGGGGGTAGAATGAGACAGTAAGGGAGAGGGGGGAAATTTTCCCCTTTCTTTAACCCATGTCTCTCCGTTAGAAAGAAGCAATTTCTTAGTCCTTGTAATAAGAGAGAGTTCACTGTGTGAGGAGACCATACAAACAACATGAAAATAAAGATAATGCATCAAAGTCTGGTGATTGCATGAAATGAAAAAACACCCAATCATTAACCAGCAATAAGATGATCATGGGTTTGAGCCTTTGCTGAGAATACTCAAAGTTTTTCCTTTTCTGAGCAAGGGTGTGTCACTGACTGAAATGGTCCTACAGCAGTATCACAGGCAAAGTAATAGTTTACCTTTTGCAGGGTTGACAGTGATGCCAGATCTGTAAATGTTAAAAATAACAATGTTATGATCATAAATTGAACATGTTGTGACTCACTGCGGCCATCAAACTACTGTTTTATTTTGACTATGATCCTAATCCTAAGCAATTACTATGTGTACCAGTATCCCTGATATAAAATATGCACTTTAAAGGGTACACCTAACAAATCTTTCTGGGTATTGTAGATATAGAATACCTGTTGACAATTAGCTGAATAAGGACGTAGTTATTCAACCTGTGCATCCAAAAAGACCACAAGTGACAGTGAAATGTCTATCAGTTTAGGGCAATATATTCACTGTATTGTATTCAATAAAATACAATTATTCTGTTTAAACATGTAGATCAAAATTCAGACCTTCAATCTCAAAGGCCTCTTTTCAAGAAGCATGGCATGTCACCCACTTCATTACACATATATCAGAGTCATAAAAGACCTAGAAACATACCAGTGTGTGCATATCTCCACAGCCACAAACCACTGTATTTGGCTGTAGTTGACTGATTAAAAGGTTTGTGCTCTCTAAATGACTGCAAAAATAGCTCTCTTAAGAAAGGGACAATTGAGCTATGTTTGTCAACTGAATACACTTGTCAAATACCTGTACAGTGCCTCTTCATTTTGCCAATCCCAATTCCTTTCCACAGTTCTTGCTGCAGATAAGATTAATAAACACACCAAGAACCCAGAAAATAGTCTCAACTGCTGCTCATTACAAGCTTTCCAAATTATGTCAGCTCCAACAGCAATCAGCAAACAAAATCCAACACTTGGAATGTAGAGTATTCGTTCTGCCACCACAAAACCAACATAGAAAAATAGGTTACTCGCTGGGAGAAAAGAAAGTGTTAAGATTGCAAGTGAAATGAGTGTTGTTTTAATCCAACAAGTCTTGTTGGTGACACTGAAGTCTCTCATTGGTAATTTATTGTTACTTTGCTGTTGATTAGAATAAATGCCATTTGAATGCTTGGCATTATCTGTAGACTTCTTCACATGTTTTTTTCCATTTTTTTCAGCTAAGTCTTTTCTACGCTTTACAGCATGTTCCTTCTGTGAAGATGTGTCTTTGACAGTTTCTTCCACATTTAAGTGAAATACCAAGCTTTTTAAACAGTATAAACCCAATAAGGCCAGAGTTCCATAAAATGCTATAATCACTCCACAGCGTGGGTCCAGCAAAGACTCAACCAGAGGTATAGAATCCATTGACCAATCAAAACTCAATGTTTTAGGAGACAACAGGAGCCAGAAATTAAATGCTGGCAAAAACAAGCAAGTTAACAGCCTGGTCTGTCTGCTATCACAATTTGCAGCAGGATTGTCAGATGGTGAAAAATCAGGTGGTTGACTCCCCATCATGCAGATTCTCAGAAGCAACAGAGCAAGTCCAGTGGTGATCACCAAAAGTAAGCGCAAGGCATGACCATTTTTAACAGCCTGGGAACACAATGAAAAAAATGTGTTAAGGTTAAAGTTCACCTAATGAAAAGGTGCAGGTTAAACCATGATGGCATCATCATGTTTAGTTGGGAAAAAAAGACACTTAACTTCAAGAATAACTCTTATAATTATTCCTTTTAGAATTGTGGAGGAGGTTACTTGTAATTTATTACATGACTCGGGCAGTCAGAGGACCAATAACTAAAATCAACCAATCAAAATGCTCTATTGCTGGTCCAATATTCTCTAAGTATTGGACCAGGCACTGTCCCGAATGGTCCCGAATGACACTGCACTCGTGTCCCTTTGAACTTCAGTCATATAATAAATCTCTTATTAACCAAGCTTGCTCAGGACCGTACTGGAAGAATATCGGGCCTCGGTCTTTTTTGTACAGACCTCGCTGTGCTCGGTCCGTACTGTCAAGACCTCAGGCCAATATTCTCCCAGTACGGCCCTCGCGCTTGGTTAATAAGATATATGTATTTATTTAGCACCCAGTTGAGGAGGTGTAGCAATACCTTGAAGTGCACTAACTGTGTGAATGAAACCTTGCAAATATCTTGCAGTAGACAACCCAGCAGGCTTGTGGGACAGAATCTTTAGATAGGACTTACGAACTAATGACTACTACAGAGTACATACCATTGATATGGCTGCAAAATTAGTCTGATTCTTCACATGGCTTAACAGTACCATAACCTCATACACAGCACAAACTCCTAACACAGTGATGCCTTGTTCCTTGCATAACATGCTTGCTGTACACAATAGAAAACAAAACACCAACCACAGCCACTGTGTATGAACCTCTCTAAGCTGAGAATTGTTTGTGGTGAACTTGTGAGACTTGATATAAGCCAAAAATGATGCAATGAAAAACAAGCATGCTCCTATATCAGCTCGTCCTACAACTCCAGTGACAGCCTCTGATAAAAACAGAAAAAAAGACAGCTTGAAGTATTGATTTTTAAATACACTAGAAGGCTAATTTTGAGAAATTGTTTTATCTTTTTAATTCAAGGTACATTCTTTGTGAACCTCACTATTAACGAGAAAGTATTTTTTTTTTTAACATTCCAAAGGAACAAGAAGAACATGAGCGACATTTTCATTGGATTAAAGGCTGCTCCTTATTTTTCAACTGCTGATTTGCTAATCCAACATAAATTTTAGGAATTGATTTCGACAACCTTGCTTAGTGGATAAAGTGGTGCCAACACTTTTGCAGCCAGCAGTGATTAGTGAACAAACTTCCTCATCATTATTTACATGCTCTATTAGCAGACATATATAACTAAGAAGGAAATGTGTGGTTCTAAGAATGGCCCGCTAGGATAGTTAATATAAAATGACACCCCTCCCAAGAAGAGTTCTGTAAACATCCCTTCACAGGGTATGAGTATGTGTATTTCACAAACCACCTGTTCTTTCAGACTTACCTGTATGAATGGGGTGTATGGCAAAAAGAAGCCCAGCCACTGTACATGGAAAGTGAGCAGGGAGAAAGATGTATGACAAAGCCACAACCAACCAACAAACAGTACTGTGTAATAATACATTCACAAGATGGTATCCAAATGGATTCAATTCACCAAAGTAAAAGTTGATCCTGAATGTTGCCACACACAGAGGTCTGTAAGACTTGTGGCTTCCACTATGTGTGAGAGGGGTCCCCCAAAAATCATAGAATAGGACATTACTCCACGGAGTTGAAGGTAGCAGGTCAGAATTTTTTAGGATGGCTCGGCTAGCATAGAAAAAAAAAGAGAAAAGAACAGTGACAGCGATTAATTGAAAACCAAGTTCACCAACTGCTTGCAATAGCTATGTAGTCAGTAGAACCCGACCGCCACCCAGTTAGCCCAATGGATAGTGCACTGGGCTGTTGTGCGGGAGGTCGAGGGTTCAAGCCCCGGCCGGACCAACACTCACAGTCTTAAAATAATTGAGAAGAATTTGCTACCTTTCTATAACATCAAGAAGTGGTTAGATAATCTAGTCTTCTCAGATGGGGACGAATAAATGGAGGTCCCGTCTCCTGCAGGGTTGGGGGTAGGAGACGTTAATTTCCCACGCATGAGATTACTGTGTGATGGATGTCCTCCCCTGGGTTGGGATGGGTGGGTTTACCGGGCCTGCAGTAATTGGCGTAAGCTGTTGCGGTGTCCCTGCCAGTTGGCGAAGCTAATAAACTAAACTAAACTAAACTAAACCCCACTAACTCGATTAACTCAAATGTTAATGAATAAAGTTAGTTAACACGAACTCTCTGTTCACTCTAACTAATTTTATTTTCCCTTGCCTCAAATTTATCCTATTGACTTTAATTTAACTAAAAAATGTCAATCGATACATGTCAGAAGTGTCAAAACCTAACTGATTGACAAGGCCCAATTTTTACTGGTAATTGGAGCAAATGTGATAATATTAATGAAAATGTAATACATTTTAGCTAAACTTCCCAAACTAAACTTGCCTGTCAAAATTGAATGCAAGAATGGTAAAAACATTATTCCTTAAGTTAATAATAATTAGTGGGATATAATTGAAGTTCAACACAAATCCTAACAAGACAGGCCCCTACTAACTTAAACCATTTTTGTTTCCCTTCTGAGTAGTTACACCTGTGAAGTTTCAGTGTTTATTCCATGATGATAATTCCTCTGAATCTCCTGCACCACACCCAAGCTTAATAATTATAAACTTGATACTGATGCATCTGGAGAAACTCTCAAATCATTCCTAAATAAACGAAGCTATTTATGTGGGAATTTTGAGGAATTTATTTTTGAAGTATTTTTTTTTTGCTTTTTGGTGTATTACTTTCATAAATTATTGAGGAGTCTTGGCACAGAGAATTCCTTGTATCAGATTTACCAAAACATGTATTTACTATTGGTTTAAAATACTCTTATTCAGCATGGTAATATATATTTAGTAGGTCAGATACATTTGGTTAGAGAAAAAGTCAAAACGTATGGATCAACAGTAAAAGCAATCATTTGTAGAAGAATTGTAAAATAACTGAAATGGTTTTTGCAATCAAAAATTTTAAAAGATTCAATATTTTCCAACATACGATGACAATGGAAATTTATAAATAAGAGATGAGAAGTTCCAACTGAGAATATTGCATAGCCAAAAGAACTGATGCCAAAAACGTTTGATAACCTCTGAGTTCAATTTATTTGGATGTTGATGGCTTTATCTGGCTAGAATGGTGTTTATCCGATCTTTATAGGTCTGAGTTTTTGTAAGATGAAGTTCGCTCAAATATTGCTTACAATCGGTTCGTCGATCGCCTTTGTTAAAAAAAATCACCACTGCAAATAGGAGAAAAACAATAAACGTTGGTAATGCAGGTGGTTGTCAAAAACTCTGGAGGTTCGCCAGTTTGAGATGTTTTCATGCCAAATTTGCCGCAACCGATCAGAAGAGTGTTTCATTGGGGAAAAAAACGAATGACTTTTCCTAAATTCGAGGATATTTGTTGAGTCAGGAATTTAAATTTAAGCTCAACTACTTGATCCGTAAGGTCGTCCGCGAGGCTTAAAAATAAACCGAAACACCCGCAAACGATCAAAGAGATGCCTATGATGCAAATTCTGCAATTTTTTTTTTTTTTTGCACGAAACATTATTCAATAGGCGATCAAAAACTCAAGAGAATCGGTAGCATAGGCAAGTTTGTCTTATGAACTGTAAAGATTTGATCGGTATTATTGTCGAGTGAAGAGTTAATGTTGTAATAAAAAGCAATTGAATTCTGAAAACCTCAAAATGCCACCAGTCACCTCAAAATAATTCCGGATTAATCACAAATTTGTCATACGCGCACTTACCTGTCATCGTACACGAAATCTGCTGACAGAGAATTCAAAAAACATAATAGCCCAGCTATAGAGGAAATTGCGGCTGTATACCACCACTTCCACATCTCATTCTACATCCCGTGGGGAATCGACGGCTAAACAAAGCCACCTGCATTCAAACTTCTCTAAGGTCCCGCCATCCGCCATCTTCGTAAACCTTGGTAACCAGGTCAGTATGAAGCAGCTGATTGCGAGGTTACTGCAGATTACTGAATGCGCCTCTGACAGGGTACAAAGTATGAAAATGAAATTAATTTTGTGCCTTGGCTTACAATAAACGTAGCATTACGAGCGGGAATAAAAGGTATAGTCATATAGATATTAATTTTCTAAGTTTGAAATGAAGAAATTTCATTCAAGGCAGTCATTTTAATACAAACATCAAGTTAAGTCGTTTTGCGACTGTCACCACATGTTTGATGAATTAAATGCCTTTGATTTAATTTTAAGACAAGTTGGAGAAGTAAATCTCTCGGTATCAATCTGGTTAACCATTGAAGTGCAATAAAAAGCATAAAGAGGAAAATTTACTCATAAAAACACAAGCATACCTTCATTCAATCTCCCAAAGAACTTCGTGGTTGGCGGTCTTTGTCACGCGAACACGGGGTTTCCGGTTTCCCAGCTTGATAATCAGCTCCACAGGGTAATAAAGCGAAGCTTTCAGCCAGGCTATCTCTTCAATGGTTTATACCACAAAAATTAAATATAAATTACACCTAGATCCAGGTGTCAAGGTCTCCTAGACAGCTTTTTATCGAACAGATACAGTATATTTCTGAATAAACAACTCATCTGTCAAACTACGGCGGTTAAAGTGGTTTTCTTTGTTAAAAATAAGATACGCAAGCCTCAGTTCCGTGAAGATCGAGTTTGAACAACAAAAAAAAAAAAGCTTTAAATAATGACTTGTAAGTCTTATGGATAAAAAGATGACATTATTCTGCTAAATATCTTACTAGTTACCCGCGATTACTTAACTCGAGTAAGCAGGTAAAGGCAGTGATTTTTATTTCCGATGTCAATAGTGACGAGTCAAGCAGCATGATGTGAACGACGAGCTTCGAAAAAAAATGCGATGAAAACTTTGATAAAGATGATAAAATAAAAAACGGCACTGAAATGGCTATGAAAATTGAAACTGAAGTCACCTCGCTATAAACAAATTTATAACTGGCCGGGACTTACAGCTAAAATGGGTTCGAGTAAAATTTTGAGGTTTTGTGAAAGGAGAAGGATAAAAACACTTTTACCATTTTCTTAAATAAGGGATCAATCTAATCCTGAAATCAATTGCTAAGGTATAAGTCATAAATTTTATGATTTTATGAAATTGCTCACTTCCTATATCCAAAGGCGTAAGGAAGTGGGCCAGTAGCCATAATGGGCGCAAGTAAAGACAAGACCCATGATCCTCACCTACTTTCTAATTTCCTGCGAACTGCGAGGCTCCTTAAATGAAGTTGGTCTCCCAGAATCGCATGAAAGGATCGGGATACGTCGGATGCTAACGAAACGCTGCCAGTCCTCTTCGTGATAATATACAATACGTAGCGTACATTTTTCCTGGACAATCGCTTTGTCAAGGGGTGAAATTGCTCTGATATTCTTTTCCTAGGATCCATAGGATCTTCCCTTTATTCATATTCTTTCTATCCTATCCTTGACAAAGAAAGGACCTCAACCCGCCATAATGGGTAATTATAACAAAGTTCGGCGGATATAACGCGCACTGTCTTTGGTTGAAAGGGCGTGCTCTATCAGGGTATGGAGCACGGAGCTGAGCTAAGGCCTTCACGCCATCTGCTAATTTGCACTATGTCTAGCTTTTTCTCGTTAATTGAGAGTGAAATTTCGGAATAAGCGAGGCGCCAGGTAGCAATAGAAGAACCAAACAAAGGCTTGTAAACATGCTTAAGCACCGTAATTTTCGCTATTATCACGTGTACAGAGACGGAAATCCTCAAAGAGAAAAGGAAATGAAAAGTCCCGGTTTTGAAGGTTTTCACTCTCAGTTAGATTGTAAACTTCAGTATGGTAATAAAAACTCTCCGAATATTCAGTTGTTACTTTACGGACTTACACAGCTTTTTGGACAGGATAGTGTCTACGGTTGCTACGCAACCAGTAAACACAAAAATCAAACACTACTAACACAGATCTCCCTAAAGGACCTCCGATAGTTGCTGATTTAAGATCGATGTTGCGACGACTTCCGAATGGTCGCTGTCCCTGGCAAACCCATTGATTCTCGCTTCACGGACGACGTTAGAAATGAGGGAATGAGAGGGTGGCTGAATCAGGGGACGATTGTAGTCATGCCCATCGAGTGGAAAACGCAAGCATTGTCGGGTGATTTACTGAGTGTGCGGTCTTTAGAGTGAGCTGAATATTAAAAGCCTTTTTCTTTGAAGCACAATACTAAGGAGAAATTTTCGGTTAGCAACACTCGATTCAATAAAACTCTTTACTGAATTTTGACCAAAATAGGTCTAGAAAATTGCCAGTGTCAAAGTATTATGAGATAAAATTGTCGGTGCCTTTGACAGACGTTCCGTCAAAAATTAGTAAATAGCGATGTTTATCGAAATAGTTTTAAGCTTTTAATTAATTTCCAGTAAGGAAGGCAATCTGGAAATTCCACTTTTATTTATTTTACATTCTATTACCGCAACGGATTGTTTCCAAGCCTGTTTTCCACTTTGTGCGAGATATAAAGTTACACATGAAATGAGCCGTTTGCAAACTTGGCAAACAGTTTGGCGGTTTCTTGTTATGACGGCGATAGATCTCGAGAAGGACATTTTTCCTGTTCCAGTAGGATTCTGGGTAAACTAGCGAGGTAGACCGTTAGCAGTTTGTTGAACGTTTCAATCTGAGTCCCAAGAACTCTTAAGGACAATTCTGATGTATTTATTTTGATAAGATTATAGCTGAGTTGCGCACGGGACCCGACGAGGAAAGACAGTTCAAAAACTATGAAAATGAAGTAGTTGAAGTGAAAAACTGAATGAAGAGGAAAGTATTGGATGTGCTCTACTCCTTGTCGGCCAGAAAAACCTGTAACTACAGGAAAGATTCACAACTGCTTGCATGTTTTGAGAAGAGGTTTCTCAGTCGTTGCACATTGAACTTGACCCATAAAAAGATGCCGTTTTCAGACAATTGCGCAGAGGATGAAATTCCAGGGTACATCTTATGGGCAACTGTTGTCATCAGCAGCTTGCTCTGCGTCCTTACTGTACCAGGTAACACGCTAACATGCATCGCTATCATTAAGGATCCTTTCAAAGACTTGCAGACGCCATTTAATTATTTTGTAATCGACTTAGCTGTTGCTGATTTGGTTATCGGATGTGTAACCTTACCCGGCTTCATCACCTATCACTCCCAGGAGGCCATTAAAGGACAAAAGCTGCGCTGGATCTGGGTACTTCACTTGACGTATTTCATGTCACTTACGGCCTCGCTTCTGAGCTTGTCAGCGTTGGCTGTGGACCGCTGCCGCACAGTTACGTCACCCTCATGCAGACGGCTCAAGCCAATACATGGATATCTAACATTTTCCCTAATTTGGTGCCTATCGTTGACTCTTCCACTTACTTACCCTTTGGTAGAAGTTTACGTTTTCATATTTGTTTTCAGTAATACGTCAGCCATTGCAGTTTTTGCTATTTTGGTTGCCTCGGCCAAGTCTATTTCAAAAACAATGCAGAGCCATGTAAAAAAACTGGGACACAATAAAACGCAGTGACTTCAAGCGGAGAGCACAAGCGAGAAAAAGAAAGATCACCAGGTCCTTTATAACGATGTTGATTGTTTTCTGTTCCATTGTGTTCCCGTCTTGCATTGCTGTATACATCATCAGTTTCTGTACCACGTGCTCCTGTGACATCCCGAACACCTTGCGTGACGTTTATTTCCTCCTGCCTATGATTATTTCAGACACGAATCAGTTACTTTACTTTATGAGGATGCGGACTTTCCGCAGAGCGTATGTGTTTTTGTTTCAGCGTACCATATTCAGCCAAAAGATCCGGCTACGAACGGAATGTTACAGGATGGAAAAAAATTTCAGGAGGAAATTAGGAGAAAGAGGTCAATGAGACAGATTTTTGTAAACCCACTAGCATAACAGGTACGTTAAAGATTTCAAGTTAAGAATATGGTATAGTCACGCGCTTATAAAAACCAGAGTTTATTAAATGAAAGAACGATCTGTTATTGTAACAAAGTACGAAAAATGAACGAGGCTAATGATCCCATACAGAATGAATCTGGATTTTTTTATTGAGCTTTGGGCAGATAATCTTTTTTAGTAGAAACACACCGTTGGTACTTTTCATAAATATATTTTATCGGTTTTAAAAATTTCAAATCAGACCTTCTTAGTATAAAGCAAGTAGCTATTCTAAAGTACAGATCATTAAACTAGACATATCCCATAATCGTCACTAAAGAAAATCCTATTTGAATAATTGTATTTACCGCCTTTTGCTGAAAGAATTTTTTTGTTTTGGTTTCTTTTGATTGTAAAAGGTTTGATATTCGTATCTACTGTTTCGCATTTTAGTTGTCAAACTAAATTCCACATGTAGACTCCAAGGAATTTGATCGCAAGTGAGACACAAAGCAACCCGAAATTAATTTTCGTCTCAGTTTGATAAACATTTTACCGCCTTTAATCAAATTCATTAGTGCTTGTTAAAATACTAAAGAAAAAATTGCCAAAAACATTTATTATGGTAAAAGTCTAATCCTTTACAATGCACCAAGAATCAATTTTTGTAAAAACTGTTTGAATGCATAGTTAGAATCATATATTGTTAACAATTTAATGAAACAAAATTTGAAGTCACCTGCAGCCTTCCAATTTCCCCCTGGTTGCAAAATGTAAATATGATTTAAAGGCCACATGCCACCTAGAGGTGACAGAAATTAATTTTTTGTAATTTAGTGACTGAATAGTCTAGTTTTATTTTATTTTTAAGTTTATTCCAAACCTGCAAATTTCACGCTTCCTCTTTGAAAAAAAAAAATAGTTATTCTGACGCCACGGGGATATTCCTGTAAAAATAAAATAATAATTCCAGTTTTTATTACGTCTATCAGCAGGGGAGAAATTGTTTATTTTTAAGGCTTTGTCAAATGTTTGCCTTTATTTTGACATCTTCTGCTACATGAATTGAATACGCGCAATTGCAACCAAATGATTTGGTAACCCAAGGTGCTTTAAAATTTGCAAGAAATTCTCGAGTTTGGAAGCCTCTATTCTTCTTGTCACCTACATCTGATATAATAATTTCATGAACGTCAGCGCACTGTTTGTAACAATAACTTACATTCTACCATAATGGTAAAATCATTGCCATTTTGCTGAGCAGATATTGAAGGACGCTGTCTAAGACCGATACATATCGAAAGAAACTTCATGTTGTTTGGAAGCAATCTTTGCGAGGATAAGAGCGCGCCATTTGGGTTGTCTTTGACAACTGCAACTATATCAACAATCCTGTGTGTTATAACTGTACCAGGGAATGTCCTGATTTGTCTGGCAATCGTCAAAGATCCGAATAAAGAACTTCGATCTTCATTCAACTACCTCGTTCTCAATCTGGCTGTGGCTGATCTTATCACAGGTATATGCACGGAACCAGTATTTGTCGTGTTTCACGTCAGAGAAGCTTTAAAATACGACGTAATGAGCCGCGTAGAGGTCGTTCATATAGCCTACTTCATCAATTGCACTGCCTCTATGCTTAGCATAGCAGCTCTGGCTACTGAGCGTTACCTAACAGTTACTTCCACCTATAGGCGAAGCTGTTCTCGATCAAGAACAGTAACGATCTCCATCGGCATCTGGATTTTCTCAGTTTCTGTTTCTTTCATTTACTTTGCAACTGGTTTTTACACTTTCGTCTTTGTGTTTGCTAACACTACTGTGGTGGACACCTTAATCATTATTACATTTGCATACATCAGAATCTACCAAAGTCTTCACGCGTATGTTGGAAATGAAGAATCCACACGAAGTGATCGAATGATGGAACAGAGAGTCAAATATGAGAAGAAAGCAACAAGATCATTCCTGTTTGTCCTCTTCGTGTTCGTTTGCTGCAATGTATCTTCTTGCATCATCGTCTATATCATTCTACTTTGCAACGTGTGCAGTTGTGACGTCATTCACTGGTTACGAGACTTTCAGTTTCTAATGGCCCTGATTAACTGTTCAGCTAACCAGTTCTTGTATGCATGGCGCATGCCCACTTTCAAAAGAGCTTTTAAAGTGCTTTTGAGAACTAAGGAAAGGCGTGTTGAGTGTAATCAACTCTCCTTGGGGACTGAGATGACCCAATCCCGCACCGAAAACACAAAGTAAACTGGTCAGCAGTGCTATTGTCTCAATATACAGTACGTCGATTCAGCACAACACAATGTCTCAATACACTATATAATCTAGCTCTACAACTTCGAGGGCGTCAAAGGGGTTAACTGTAAGCCGTAAAACGGCCAAAAAAATTTAGCCATTAGACGTATAAATTGGGAAATTTTAACCATTGGTCTTAAAAAAAAAGTTAACCGTGAAAACATTTCTAAAGACCACGATGGAAAGATATATACAGTTGGCCGTAAAATAGCCAAAATTTTGAACCATTGAGACCCTCAACTTCGTCTAAGTACACTTCTTTGTAAAAATGCACTAGTTTGTCTCAGCACACTAGGTTTTCTCAGCGATACCCAATATACTAGATCTGAAGCCGGATACTTCGAATGATCGCCTGCACAAATTGACCACAAGCTTAAGGGTTATAATCTTCTGGATTGACTTAATCGATGAAATAACGAAAGCTCTAGGTGAAGGAAATTATGCTCTATCTTTAGTTGTAGACGTTAATAAAAAATTAAATAGGTTCAAGCGATCATTTTTTTCAGCGTCAAAAACTCGATGTACACTGGGTACCCGAGTCATCTGAAACCATTGATTTAGGTATTATTCAACGGCCGAGAGAAAGCGAACGATATTTGCTACTTGGGTCTAATTTTCTGCTCTTAAACTCTGGTCTATCACAAGAGTTGGTCCTTAATTGGATCATTCCTCTTTCTAATTCATGTAACTGATAATATAACGATTACTTGCTTATGATGCATCCGTAACAGATGAAAGATTTCAACGCTTGCATTTGTCAGAAGTACGTAGCTCTAATTGCAATGGAGAGCCTTTAGTAGAACAGATGTGTAAAGCTAGGAAAGATATCTCAAGATAGGTATCACCATAAAACATTACCATCTACCATAAAATAGTTAGCACTTTAATAAAACAGAATTAACCACTCAAATGAAATAAAATAAAAAAAAAAAACAGATATTGAAAGCGGCCGGATTGTTGCTATATACAAACCAACAATGGCCCTTAAATTTTCAGTTTCTTGCTATCACCTTTTACAAGTCTTAACGCTTCATATTTAGACGAGAAACGCCTTCCTTTTGTAAGCAATTAATGGATAGGACACCTCCAATAATGGCCCATTTATGAAAAAAGCACAAGTCAGTTATTTTCAAAGTGACGCCTGTGGTGGCTGGGGTACCCGAGTTATCAATTTAAAATTTATATCAAAGACCTCATGAGGGGGGTTGAGATATAAAAGGACTCAGTGCATCTGGCATCATAAAACCTATACTTTGTGCGATCAAATGAAAACTCATGATAGAAGAGTTAACTTTGGTGTTATTACCATCCGTTTTATTCAAGTCATAACTAAGAATTAAAGTAAAAAACAAAACGACAAAAACAAATTACGCCGTATCTTTAGTGATTTCTGCGTTATAGAAAGCTGATGGGGAAGCAGGAAACGCATTTGAACGTGACTTGTATGGACGCCCTGCCGTCGTAAGGACAAAAGAAGCTATAGTTTCGACAGAATGCAAACTGTTATCATCCCCAATCAATTGCATTCGTGCAACTCACGTAATCTCACAAGAATAGACACCAAAATACGAAGTAAAGGATAAACAAGCACAGGTTCGAATACTCACAATTTTCAAACCTGTTCGATTCTTGAAGAATATTTGCTTCGCAGTGGCATAAACTTGAATGACGTAATCGGTTTCATATAAAGCTTATATTAACAAACGAAGCTCTCACTAGCTAAGAGCGTTTAAGCACGCACCTATTATTGGTAATTTTAGGCTATTATTATCCATATTCCGGTCTAATTACCTACCCGGCAGGATAGGCAATGATATTCCCCATCTAAAAAACTAACCGGTGACAAAGTCCTGGGATATTTACAGCTGTTTGTATACTTGACAATGGATCCTTCACGAAGCAATTCTATATTTCATGAAATACAGCGTGTGGGAAAGTCACGCTTATTACCAAATCTGTCCATGCTTTCAAAAGTTAATACTTTCTCCGCTAAAGCCATGGCGTGATAGTATACATCATTTTCCTATGAGAGGCAACAAATGTCGTCTTGAAAGCAATTAAAAGCCAATGCAGTAAAAAGGAAGTAATCTTCATTTTGTTTCCCGTCTTGAAAGCATTAAAAAAGTACGGCAAAAATGCTCTCTTCTTTTGCAACAGCAATGGATTCAACTTCGGCTATTTCAAATCCCTCTTCAACACAAGCCCCTGTTGCCGATTGCTTCCAATATGACGACCAGGAAAGAAGTTGTCAGTTCTCCAGCTCGTTTTCCATCCGTTCTATCTTGTCCTCTTCACCTACCTCTCCGTCAGTGCAATCGCTTCCTTCTTCCATTTCATATCGTCAGTTGCTGCTCGCGGGAGATCCTGGCCCCTTTGATTATTCAGCCCAATTTCCTCATTATCATTGCTGTCATCACGGAGCATGTGTTGTCAATTGGCAATCGGATAGAGGTAGGTCTGACGAGATTCTTAAGTTATCAGGCGATACTGATCTAAGCTGCCTAGTCGCTGCCTGGCAATAAAACACTTTGTTTTACGATAAAGAGACTCCTCAGCTTCCTCAGTTTCTATCCTCACTCTTTATATACCTATTTACACCTTTTCAAACTCTGCCTTCTGTCTAACAGCTAGTTACTGAGGGGAAATTAGCGCTCTTTTGGGACGATAAAGCTTGCTGGTCTTTTAATTTCGATTTTACCCAATCGTCTTGGTCATTTTCCACATCAACTTTTTCAGTACCGAAGTCTTCAGTCGTATCATTGTATCTCACGAGAAAGAATCAAAGCGAAGTTAGTTTTCATCTGCCTGGATTATTTGCCTAGATATTACTCTCGACAATGAAAGCACTGCAATATATAGAGGTAGTTCATAGCAGAAAAGGTAGCTATGAAAACTTTCATAGTTACAGGAACTTGTATCTAAGGTTCAGAGAGCAGAAAAACGGCTGAAATAATCTGACCAAGCCGCAGTTATTGCATGTGATCAGCACTTCACCAAACAGTTGCTATCTTGCAGAACCAAACATCAAACGAGGTGATGACAAGAAAGATAAGCGAAAACCCAATAAGAGATCACGAACGATTTTCACGCCTGCGCAGCTGGAGCGACTGGAGAAGGCTTTCTCTAGGCAGCAGTACGTGGCAGGAGAAGAACGCCGTAATCTGGCCACTGCGCTTCAGCTGACAGAAACTCACGTTAAAGTTTGGTTCCAAAACAGGAGAATCCGGTTTAGGAGACTGGCTAACCAACACTCAGACGTAACAGTAACTACAAAGGACTAACGACTACAATGCTTTACGGATCCTATCTTTAATTAGTAGTGGAGGTAGTTTACCGGTCAAACTACTTGTATTTTTTTTTTTAATTTAGATTTAAATGTTGTTCCTGTTTATTCTCGTGAGTGGCTCATTTTCTTAAAAAATGGTTCAATCGAGTTAGAGGTCGTAGGACAAAAACACCGTATGAGATCTTGTTGGGATTCAGACTGAGAACGTATTTGATTTCTATCATCTGATTCAAGAACGGCGAGAGCCCAAAAGTTTATCTGGGAGAATCTGGTGAGTCCTAAACTGACATCTCGCTCGAAATTAACACCTTTTCAAGTAGCTTTATTGCTTTAGATTATCCGTTTTATTCGACAAAGGGGGTAATCCTACTTAACCTAATATTTACCATCTCTAGCTCGTCGAGTCCAGAAAGCCCTAAAATTTGTAAATAATGTTTGTAGCCTGTTAGTAATCATTGTGAGTGACGCAAGGAATAGGACACAAGCATTAGATACATTATTTAAAATTAAAGAATAACCTTCAGCAAAGCTCATTTTCTGACATCTTTTGGTTATTCCGGCCTTTAGCTATGGAAGGTGTTTGTGACACGTTCAAACATCTCTCTTGTCCTTCCCAACAAGCGAAAAGAGGATGAATTCTTCTGAAAGCTTGGCGAAAACTGTTCATCCTCCATGCATACAAAAACTAGTTACACGAGGAGTTAATAACGACTGTCAAGTACTGTAGGTCTCTAAACCAGTGTATCACGTCACAGCTGCACGTGCCGCATAAATTAATGACGTATATCATGACACAAGACGGGAAGCTGCATACAAAAAAACCAACCAAAATATAAAGGAAACTTCTAGTTGCTTTCTTTTCTCTGTGGAGCCCTTGACGCAGCGCCTCCATTCCGAGAACCGATCGCATTTGTCTCTCGTGAGCGTTCAGACTCTTTACAATGCGTGGGAAATAAAAAACTAAAAGAATCAGAGTTAGAATTATTGTGGTATTTGCAAAAATAAACGCCAGCATATAAAACCCAGTCCCGAAATAGAGAAAAGGCAAACCACATGAGAAAATCCATATTGCGATAGAAAGTGTAATAGCGCTTGAAGAAGACAGTTTTCTTATGGTAGTAGAAGTCAAGGCAAAGTAACGATCCTTTGCTAACGCAGCTATGCTTAACACTGAGGCAGTAGAAGTCATAAAATATGACATATAAACCAACCAACGGAGACCGAGAACTTCGTATTTCATTGCTTCCGAGGTGTGATACCAAACAAATACAGGCTCCGTGACAACTCCAATAAACGAATCCGCTATGGCCAGATTCAGAATCAGATAAATGAACGAAGATTTCAGCTCGTTGTTCGGATTCTTTATGATCGCCCAACAGATAAACAAGTTCCCTGGAGCTGTGATTACACACAATATGGCCGACACGCAGGATGTGGTGACTGACGTTGCAAACGGGGCCCATATATCGTCGCAAAGATTATCCCCAAAGTTCATCGCAAAATAACAAGAAGCGTGTTATCAAAATCCAAACGAGAATGTCTTGTGTCACTTGTGAGCATGAAACTTGACACTGGCCCGAAATAGTTGGGAAAGATTTTTTTAATTAAATCTGCTTTCCAAGTCAACCTGTTATTCCAGACAAAGTTCCTTTTCTTCCCAAGGTGGTTCCCGGCAATGACGATGACCCAGGCTTCTTTTACCCCCAAAGATGTTGTTATTTCGCGAAAAAAAAAAACGTTTAAAAGGTAAAATTAGATGAAAACGATATGTATTAAAAGCATTGACATTTCTCAGCAGGAAAATAATTGTAAAAATGCTTTGTCAGTGTTGACGTTTAGTAACTTAATTTTGTGATGAAATAAGCTCGTACCTTAAAAAAACAAATGCTTCTTATGGCATCTGAGCTTTACTTGTAAAGCCATTTTTTTGTCATCCTTTCATGTTCGATTAGTTCATGAATGAATTTTGACGAGATTCCACTTATCGCTGTAAGATACTGGTCTGGAGGCGCGCAGATGTCTTATTAAGTAGCCCTAGCAATTTCTCTTTTATGTATTCTGCTAATAAGTAAAACTGACATTTTCTGGTTGAATTTGAATTAATTCCGACTATTTCCGACTGCATTTAAATCAGCCTAAACTGAAATAGGCGACTGACAATGTTTTGAATCGATTGCCAAAAAGTTTTAGCCCACATTGAAAATAAGCTGGCGAAATGACGCTTCTGCGATTATGAGGGAGATGAAACAGGATCTTGAATAAGCCCAAAAAATTTTACTAGGAAAAATTTATGTGATAAAATGCGACGTCGGGATTAGCCGCACCACTTGTTAAGTAAATATTACTGTCAGTATTTGTGGGTAACCCGAGAAATTACGGAGGTTGATGTACTTTCACGCATTAATATTTGACGGCTACGACAAATAAACATCTTAAAACCAAACGTTTTGTGCCATCGACAAATTGTCTGTTATATTTGTCACCATTACTCTTGCTCAAATGAATATTCGGTAAATGCACTAGATTTATACATACCTGATTTCGCCGGGTAGCTCTCACTTAATATTTTTGTAAAGGGGAAATCACAACTGAAAAAAAAAAATTGTACTGACAGTACAGTACGTAGTTGCAGCACTCAAATCAACAGGGACATGAAATACTCTCCAAACCTGGAGATTTGTCAGCAGTTATGGAATATGATCCATACACATGCGGAAATCCGCGAAAGAGCCTTATGAAAATGTTCTCAATGAAATCTGACGGGTAACTTTAGGACAAAAGTACGAGCATATTATAAAGCCTAATGGAAGTTTCATTTTTTATTATCCTTGTAATATTTTCCCCAGCGCGTGAAGCGAAACTTTTTCGAACGCTTTTCAGATCGACTCAATTAAAGAAAAAGTTTGACATGTCTATTTTTGCAACAAAGGCAAAACGTTCTCCTAAGTTGGGATAATATTAAGAAGTATACATTCAGTACGTTGGACTCGAAGTTCAAAATTGCAGAATATATGAACAATGACCTCTATTAGGCGCGAAAATATGCACGGATATTTGTCCTTGGACATTGTCTGTTCCAAGATACAAAAGTTTTCTGAGAGCGAAGCTCGAGGAAAATGTGAGCCTCGAGGAACAAATAATGTCCAAGGACAAATTTACGAGGATATTTTCACGCAGTATAGAGGATTTTGTGTTTATCATCCTTCAAAATTTTGTAACGCCCGTGATGTTTACGAACGCCTAACTCCTTGCTACGTAGGATGTTATCATTTGAGTGTTCTATGGAATGATTTTAAGAACGAAGAAATATTTCCCTTCTTCTGTAACAAATATATAACGCTCTCTCATCTTGAATTAAATTTTAAAGGAATACTTAGTGGAGGAAATAAGGTTGGAAAATTGGGTGATATCCTTGGATATTCCCCGTTTTAGCTTGTCATGTAATGCGTTTAGACCAATCGTGCGCGAGCGAAAATATTTGCTGGATCATAAGCTCGGATATTCCTTGTTTTAGAGGGCCATAGGCGTCAAGTTACGCGTTTAAACCAATCGCGCGCAAGAGAAAATATTAGATAGGTCTTAATGGCTGCTGTACTAATGGGGGAAAGTGTTCTATATTTCCCCAGCACTCTATCATAAACATGCAATCAGTTACCTAAGATTTCCTTGCCTACTTCGTTTTATCTTTGATTCTTGTTTTTGATTTTCTGAGACTAATACGAAAATTGGTTTGTCTGACCCATCTCGTCCAAAGGCACTGGGGAAAGTTTCGCGGCGTCTAAAGGAATCAGTTCTATTTCATCAGCAGAATTAGAATCAGCAGCAATTATGCCATTGTTGTTGCCGACAAGCTCGGCGTTCACTTGGTATGAAACTGTTTTGCAAAACACTGTGGAGATGGCTTTGCGAAAGCTCCGTACTCTCCAGGCGTATAAAAACTGATTTAAAGAACAGTTTAGCAACAGGAATATGAACTTTAAGTCTTTCATCCAATGAACAAGCGTGCAGTAACATTCATCGCAAAAGATGATGATGTAAATCATCACAACTGATGGCATTAGACACATGAGGAATATTCCGAGAATGATGTAAAAGGCTCTGGTAAGTTTTTTCTCCAACGACATCGCATTCAGTTTGATCTGTGTTTGTTTGAACCAGTGCCAGCGAGAGATTTGATCCTTCAGTCTTTGATGGATACGGATGTATGAAAACGTTAATATGCTAATTATCATGATAAGAGAAGCGTTCGTAAACAGAAACGCAAACAGATAGAATCCCGTGACGAAATACAAACATGGTAGCGAAAAAGATAACACCCATATCAGCACAGATATCAGGGTAATTTGACTGGTGGATAACAGCCTCCTGTATTGTGACATCACTGTCAGATATCTGTCAAGAGTTAGTGCTGCCAGGCTCAACAGCGACGAAGCGTATGATATAAAGAACGTCAGGTGAATAACCCAAACATTTTCCGTGACTGGGTACCACATGGCTTCTCTGATGTGGAAGGAAATAAACATTGGTTCGGTCAAAACTCCCACTACAAGGTCACTGATAGCCAATTGCAGCACAAAATAGTTGAAGGGTGTCCTCAGTTCTTTGTAAGGATCCTTAAAGATTGCTAAGCAAACTAACACATTCCCCGGCACTGTGATCAAACATAGTAACAGTGATACCGAGGCCGTGAACACCGATAAAGAGTATGGCGGCCAAGTGTCTTCGCATAAATTCTTGATAAAAGGCATCATTCCGATTTAACCTGTAACAGAAATGAATAAAATTACCTTTATCTTTCATCATATAAATCTGCCAGCGTTCTATCACAAATGCTGCAATCTCATTGGCTACACTATTCGCTAACTATTCCATGATGTACTGTGAGTAGAGTAAATAGCCAACGGTGTGAGGTTGTAAAAAAGTTAAATGAAAACATAAACCTGTCTACTTGTCAAGTTTTGAAGTCGGTTTATACTAAAACGATTCGACTCTTCGCTTTCGATTTTTCTCGCATAATAGTTATATTATGTAATAGACGTATATGACAACGATCCTTCGCAGTAAAGCACTATTTGAGCAATAGTGAAAATCAGACCTGAAAAAAATTTCAGGCCTGTACGGGATTCGAACCACTGACCTCTGCGATACTAGTGCAGCGCTCTACCAATTGAGCTAACAAGCCAACTGGGAGCAGGCCATCAAATTAATTCGATATAAACCCGTAGATATAAACCCCGTAGGGTAAACATGTATCACAAGACCGGTAAGGTAGGCACGTGACAGCCTTGTTCTCGTCCACACATATAGATTGCGCTCATGAAAACCAAGAATTGAGAATCTCGAAGAATCATCAATACTGTTGACTCGCAGATAACTTGCCTTGTTGAAATCAAGTTCTCGTTGTAGGTATTTCTCACCATAACATTTATGCTTAAGTAACATAGGGTTGTTTAGCTATTGAAACAATGGACTATATAAGAAGGGTATGACTGGATCAGAGGTTGCAGTAAAGCAACCACACTTCGAGAGGCGCTCGTTCGTGCTGATGAGAGAAATGATTCATGGCAAGGAGATAGGACAAGTGTTATCCGTAACCTCATCAAAAAGTAAGTATTCTAATTAAAAATCAGCTTGAGTTACTAAGTTACTACCAACCAAAACGCTTAACTTGTCTATAAGAATTGTTTGTTGAGTCTTGGAAACCTTTCTGCTCTAGATTGGTTTAATCCGGCTATTTCGAGCCACAAACCTGGTAATTTAACTTCTTTGCCCACTGTTGCTGCGGTTCCAACGGAAAAATGTTGCAAGGAAGATAGTAAGGAAAGAAACTTTTGCCCTTATTTGACCTGTATTTTGTAGCAAAGAATAAAATTTCTTTTTTAGAATTCTGTGATTGTCACATATCATTCTCCTTGAACATTTTCCCGGTGAGCGACGATAGACATCCGTTGTCTTTATTGAAATCTTACCAGAGGTATGTTTACACTTCTAAAATGCGTTGACTAATAGGAATTCTGTTCTTATTTTTTTTTAAAACGTTTTTTTTTTTCTTTAGTTCTAAATCCCGAAAGCACGAACGTCACTCTATAAAGTTACGACTAATTCGTCCTCTGACTCGTCTTTCTGAATTTGAAAATGTAGTAACAACAAACTCCGCTAACTGTAAATCCTTAAACTGTCACGCCGACATCACTTCTAACGAAGATTGGCGTGACCGACTCTTTTCTAAACATCAGGGCTAAGCTGTCATCATCAAGCACAACGAGAAACGCTACAAAACCCTACAAATGCTGGTCTTGAATTGATCAGGATGGCAACAAATTCGCTAACGAAAGATCTCGTAACTTATAACCTGCTCGATGGACACTAGCTTTTGGCAAGATTCTTACATATGAGAATTTGCTCTGTGTACAAAGACATTCACGCAAACAGATCGTCCTCTTGAAGCTGAAATGACTCACTTCATACAAATCATAGTATTTTTACTCACCATTATATCCAATACCGTATTACCCGGGTTATCCTCTTATTAGGAAATACCTCTACCTGGCCAAACCGGCTAAGTGGTTTTAAACAATAACTTTTCTTGTCGTTTCATCGGTTTGGGATTCATAACTGCGTCTCAAAATGTGTTCCTAAGTGGTTTAAAATTCGTCATCCCTGTTTAGGATATTAAGTGTCGCGAAAAAATTTGGATAATCTCTAAACTTCAAAGAGGCTCGACTTGACAAAAGATTGTATGTGAGATCTCTGTCAGGATTCCTGCCAGACAGACTAAAAAACTAAACAACCTAGAGTTACTATATATGGTGTCTTAAACTGCTGTTGACGGGCTCCTAGGGGAAAAGAATACAAATCTGACGAGGCAGGTAAATGTTTGTTTATATGGTTTAATCCAACCACTGTTTATTCCAACCAGAGAACAAATCCAGAAGAGTCCGTGAGGTCAACATCGTCTGGCGGTCAGTCCGGTGTGTAACGCGCCTCGCATTAATGTCGCGCGTTCTCAAAAACCGTTCTTCATCGCGGCTTTTGCACATGAAGAACGTGCTCACATTTACTTGTAGCACAAGATTTGAAGAGATTTGTGTTTTCGAAAAGCGAATAGTAATCATTCCCTAACGCGTGATTTGCGGCACTGTCGATTTTAGGGGCAACCCTCAAAAATGTTTAAAAAAAAATGGCCTACCTAAAAGAAAAAAGATCAGGCCAAAGATTTTGAGTAGCTTTTTTTTTTCAAAAAGAGAGCCCTATGAACCGCTTTACTTTCTCTGCAGATTGAGGCCATGTGAGTTGGCAAAACTTCCTCGACAAGAAATGGATTGTGATTGATAAAATATTTTGGAGATAACTTACTCTGACAAATGTTTTTAACATTTGTCAACTCATCAATTATGACTCTTCGATAATGAAATTTAAAATTTCCCAATCATTACTAAGCACATTTTTCTATGACGCACAAGTCACCATAGCGACACTTCGGTGTCTTAAAAGCAACTTTGGGGACTGCGATTAAAAAGTATTGTTCTGTTATCCCCATAACAAAATTCAGTCAAAATTTAAAAATAGAAAAAAATTGCAGCAGACCCTTCTGAACTTTTCGATAATTTAGGGTAGCTCTGACCAAAAATTCATTTTTTTAACCTTGTGGAGTGAGGAATCGAGTATTAATCAACTAAGGTTTAACTTATTCCTTTCGTTTTTCCTCTTTTCCCTCTTGATCCGAATCTGGCTCCACATCTATGCATTTTGCTTGGTACCTTTTATTACTACGACCTTTTGTTCTTCTGGGTGGAAACTTAACCCTATATAAGCCTCGTAGTTTCATTTAAATAAGTTTCCTAGCCATACACATTATTGTTGTCTTCATTTTAACTAATCATGCTTTCTTGTAAATTTCTATTGTAGTGTGGTTAAAAAAAAAAGATAAAACGATAAAACAAAATAATGAAGAACCAAAATATTAGAATCACCGCATTCAATGAACTTGCGTTCGAAACATGAAGGTAATCTTCAAAGCGTGTCTAACAGGCTGTAGTGTTGGCAAGTTTACTTTCTTTGTCAGAAGTGTGACTACAACCAGTTAAGCAATAATGGGCATTTGTATAATGACATTTGCAAGGAAAGAGAGTCGAGAAATGTTTAAGTGTGGAAGCATCGATGACGAATTAGGTCGTCTTCTTTTGCTGTTAATGTTTTCTTTTGACTTTTATAGCCGCACAACTTAGAGACGTCAAATGAAAACATCCTATCCTTAGAAAATGGAAATAAAAATATCACGGAGAAGAACAATCTTTGATCCTGGGCACCAGACGTGAACAACGAAAAAATTACTTTAATTTGAATATCATTGATGACGGACGAATTTTTTTCTATTATAATTTATTATATGCATGACTGGTCGATCCCGGCTTAGAAGTGTTTATATTACTGAATTCAGCATCGTCATAATTATCATAACACGCAAGATCTTATCTTTATCCCCTTTAGAAGATGTTTTGTTTTTATTAACAAGGCCGCATATGTTCTTATTGTCTCAGAAAACAAAAAACTTCACATCCCGTTGGAATAGAACCAGATGTAGACCACTTGACTTTCGTATGAAGCAAGTCCATCTTTAAAGATCTTCAGTTGCGCTGTAGGCGTAGAAGGATCTGGTCCGTTCTAGACTGGCACTGATCAAATTCAGAAGAAAAAGTTTGAATCACGTCAAGGTAAGAGCTAATATTGCCCACTAACTGCCTTTGTTTGAATGTGTACTTTTGTTCTGGAATGCTTGTTTACGGCAAGATTTCCAATTAGGTTACTGATGAACGTTATGGGACTGCTGTGACGGTTACCGTAGGCGTACGTGATTCTATTACTTACCTACTTCGAGTTTCCAAAATTGTTGTTTTAAATTTATTTACTGTTATCCAACAAAGGCGGCATGATATGGAATTCTTTTAGGAAAACCACAGAGATTTGTTTGTTTGATCTATCATTCTCTGCCAAAGTTTCAGCTCAGTCGGAAAGGTAAATGCCATAAATTTGCCCATGCGTGGAACACAAATAAATAGCTTATGCTTAAACAGATTAAACATAGACAAAACTTATGAGTTCAGCCACTTATCTATGAATCATGTATGTAAACACCTTCCAAACGAAGGCAGGATTTTTAAATTACGATTAAAGGGGGTAGGATTCTAAAGAAACTGTGGTGCTGGGTCTGTGGGGATCATTACAAGATGGTTTAATTCGGTTTTAACAGCTGGGTTCACAACGTACGTTGGAGACCTTAGACTGGTTCTTAAGCTTACGTTTCCAAACATCAGCCCTTCATCAGAACGAGTCTGATTCACTCTGACGAAGGGCTAACGCCCGAAACATCTGCTTTATAACCTCCCTACGGAGGCCAATTCACTTTATCAACTCAGTTCTTAAAACCAAATTAACTTTAATTATGATGCCCTCTTTGAGCCAATATTTACATTTAAGGAAAAAAGTTAATAAACAAAAGAATATAGTATACAACCAACCTGGTTACTTTGTCCGAGTCGAAGGAACATTTTCCAAGCAAAACTTGCACTGGTTCCACTTGGGTCTTTGAAAATCGATTTGGTAGTGGTCAATATTGTTTAGTATTTAAAAATTTCATAAAACCAACAGACATGATCACCTGAAGGTATTTGCTGGCTTTGACAACTTGAACCACACAATATAGATACTTCTGAATAGACCTCTTTAGCTTTCACGTTTTGTTTTTCCAATGTGCTGTGAATTAGGTTATGTGATAATACTCGAGAGAACTGCTTCTTTCTACCAATTTATCCTCTTCACCTTCTCATGTACCCATAATTGATTAAAGACCTCCATTGGGAAAACAAAACATACAAGCTGCAATGGTCTCGCGAAACTAAAAATGACCTTTATTCCACTTCTGCTTTTTATTGTTTGTCTCTCACTGTGATCAGGAGGTTGAGAATAGTATGATGTATTTATTATCCCCTATTGGCATGTGAGATGTCAAGTTATAGCTGTTTTTTTTTTAATTATTATTTTAGGTGGAAGAACAAGAGACATTTCATGATGGTCTTCATGAAGAATTTATGTGATGACGTGCACGCTCCATTCGCTACCTCAGTGACGACTGCATGTCTTTCCTTACTGCTTTGTTGTATCACTGTACCAGGAAACATTCTGATCTGTATTTCTATTTTGAAAGATCCTTATCGGGAATTATCTACCTCATTCAACTATTTTGTTCTCCAGCTGGCATTTAGTGACGTCATCGTCGGGATTTTCACCGAACCAGCATTCGTCGTATGGCATATTCGGGAAGCGCTCGGCCATGGTGTTTCGGGAACGCAATGGATTGTTCACTTAACGTTTTTCATCTCTTGTGCAGCTTCGCTTCTTAGTCTGACAGCTCTAACTCTTGACAGACATTTAACAATCGTGAGTATCAGAAGGAAACTTTCCTTTCGTTCTGTGGTTCTTATCTGCGTGCTGATATGGCTATTGTCTTTGACAATACCACTCGTTTATTTCGTCACTGGGTTTTATTTGTTTGCGTTTATATTCGCTAATACCGCGGTTATCACTGCATTTGTGATTATCACATTTTCGTACTGTCAGATTCATTACAAGCTAAGAGTTCAAGTGTCTCGTTGGCGTTCACTTTGTCAAGACCGCATCGTGTCAAAAGCAGTGGCCATGGAGAAACAACTTTTTCGGTCATTCAGTTTGATTTTAATGTGTTTCATCTTGTGTCTAATTCCATCGTGTATCATGATATACATTATAAACCTTTGTGATAAGTGTGACTGTGTACTTATCCACTGGTTACGGGATTTACAATTCCTTCTGACTCTGGTCAACTGCTCGATGAATCAGTTTCTGTACGCTTGGAGGATGCCCATTTTTCGAAAGGCAGTAGCAGCAGTCCTTTGTGGTAAGTCAACTGCACCTCAATGTGACATACCTTCCACACTTCGTACACCAACACTCTCGAGCAATCGGAGCAGCAGAAATGAAACTTTAACAGAGGAGTTTGCGTCGTCAATAAAGTACAAGCTCACTTCGCACACTAGAAATGATATCAATGATGCAGGCAATGTAAAACGTTTGGAACAGCTTGAAAATTACAGGTGCATAACCTATGTATAGAATTACTTTTTTCTATTGTATAAACAACAACGAGAACCTTATTAAGGGACCGGTCATTATTTTTCAAAAAAAATTTCTGTGTTTTCGGAATCACAGTTTGGACCTCTCTCTCATCAAAACATTCCTGATAATTACCGGTGAAGGCCAAAAATTAATGAGCTAACTTGCATGTACACTTAACTACAATAACATTGTTATAGAAGAAGAAAAAGAGAAAAAAAGTAGCTGAAAGTTTAATAGGAAAGAACCAGGATAATAGCTCTCTTTTCATCTTTAAGTTGTTTAAATTGGTGTACGGTCGCCAATTATTTTTTTAGATTTTTATTCAACATGAAAATGTTATTTCAATCACATTACATTTAGGATATGAAGTTTCCATACGTTTTGGGCTTGGCCATTCCAAGCTTAAGGTGGAGAGTTGCGGGACTTAGGAACCTGAGTCCTCCACGGGAAAACCTAAAGGTTACTGTCCCTATAACCCTCCTTATATGGAATAATGTAATGATGTTTCACGTTAAAACTCGTTTTAAAGTCAATTATATAAAGGCTGATAGTTTCTAAAGAAACTGGGGCTGCGTCGGTGCGGGTAACGAAATAATTCGAATATATCAGCAGAGTTGAAATGGTAAATTGGCCACCATTATGATTGTAAAAGCTGGCGTTTCAAGCGTTAGTCCTTCGTCGGAGCGAATAGAGGAATTGTGGGTTGTGTGTGCTTTTAAAGGCAGAAAATGGAGCTACGTTATTGGTGGGAACA